AAAAAAAAAAAAAAAAAAAAAGAAAGAAAGTGTGCAAGAGCCCAGGCATGGTGATTCATTCCTGTAATCCCAGCATTTTGGAAGGTGGAGGCAAGAGGACTGCCTGAATCACGGGTTCAAGACCAGCCTGGGCAAGCCACGGGTTTGAGACCAGCCTGGGCAACTTGGTGAGAGCTCGTCTCTACAGTAAATTTTTTAAAATTAGCTGGGTGTGATGGCACACACCTGTAGTTCCAGTTACTTGGAAGGCTGAAGTGGAAGGGTCGCCTGAACCCAACAGGTGGAGGCAGCGGTGGCCATGAGCATGCCACTGTCCTCCAGCCTGGGCGACAGAGACTCCGACTCAAAAAAAAAAAAAAAAGCATGTAAGAAGGAATCTAGTCCACGGCGGATGGCCAAGGGCTTTTCTGAGGTCAGAAGCCTGGCAGGAGGGCTCAGAGAAAACTGCAGGAGTTCAGAGGCAGACCTCGCCCTGTGCAAAGGCGGGGCCTGTCCTCTCCTGGAGAAAGGCAGGAGGGGCCTGCTCGCCCTCATCAGCACCTATAGCGGAGTCAGGCCAGAGAAGAAAGTGTGACCAGGGTCCGCGGCAGAGCCCATCCAAGCCAGGAACAGCCTGCCAATAAGCTTACCTTCCATGGCTGAGTCCTCTGCATTTCCCCCGGGACCAGCAGCCGGCTCCGTGAGTGACTTGAGGGCATGGCAGGCTGTGATGATGTCCTGTATCTGGAGGAAGCTGGCCACGGCCAGCACATCATCCACGTTCTCAGGGCTCAGGCTCAGCTTGGCTGTGTACATGAACTCCAACACCTGCCCCAGGCCTGCCAAGGATAGGACAGTCATCTCAGACCCACCACAGGGGCCTGGCACCGGCAACCTGCCCAGCCACTGCACTCAGCGGCAGGACCCGGGGGTTTATAACAAGCTGAGTGGTAAGTCTCCTCCCAGCTCCTGTGCTGGGGGAGAGGTGGGAAACCCAGGTGCTCAGCCCAGCGGTAGCCTCTGAAAGGCAGTACACCCAGTGAGGGTGTGAGTGCCTGCCCTGCACAGAGGACACGGGGTGTGAATGCTTGCCCTAAGCAAGCACAGGTAGTGTGAACACTCACCCTGCAAGGAGGACAGAGTTGTAAATGCTTGCCCTGCATGGAGCACAGAGGCTGTGAATGCCCACCCTGCACTGGGGGCAAAGGGTATGAATGCCCAGCCTGCACTAAGGACAGGGGTGTGAATGCCCAGCCTGCACTGAGAAATGCCCACTCTGCTCTTAGAACAGGAGGCGTGGAGGACCGAAGTGTGAACAGCTGCCTGCACAGCCTCTACTTGGCCACTGCTCTTCACCACCAGAGGACACTCCAGCCCGACTGTGTCAGCACTAGCTTTCTTCAGGGCTCTGCTACCAACTCTCTCTGACTGCCCTCCAGCTCGGTCACCTGATCTCCTTGGGTCTCAGTTTCCACATCTGTATAATGGGAGACCAACACTGGGCCTGACCTTGCAGCATGTCAGGCCATTCCTGGGTCTGCTGCTCAACCCCTAGGCCTCCCTGGCTTCTCCCAGCCTTGCCTGGCCTTCCCTATCACCGCTCCCCCGCTCCTGGCTAGCCTGGGACAGGGGCTTCAGGACCGACTGCTGGGGGAGGGCTGAGGGCACACAGCCCGCCTACTCTGTCCCTCCCAGTGAGGTTTCTGTTTTCACCGTGGCCTACTGCTGGCTGTGATCCCGTCCTGCCAGTTCTCCCCTTTCCACTTCACTCCCAGTCAAGACAGGCCCCCAAGGTGGCAGGAGCTTGGCCCCCACACGCCCATGGCTTGGCGCCTCCCACAGCAGGTGCTCCGGGAGGGCAGGAGCTGTGTCAGGAGGGCCTTGCCTGCACAGGCTGGCCACAGCTTCTGGCCCGTGGCAAGGTTAACCCCGCCCCAGCGGGGTACCTGCCGCATTGCTGATGTCCAGGTGTACCACATCCTTCTGGTCCACAAAGAGCATCTTGAAGTACTCGCTGCAGGCTGCCAGCACTGCCTTATGGGCTTTAAAGTCAACACCGTCCACCACGAAGGTGCAGTCACACAGAAGCCCCAGCTGCCGCTGCTGGTTCAGCTGTTCCAAGACGTGCTGGCTGTGTTGGGGGAAGTCCATGGCTGCGGAAAGCCAAAGGCCTTGGTGTTAACACAGAGAAAGAATGCCAGCCAGACTCGACAGTGCCCCCCCCAAACCCCAAGGAGAGCAACGCAGAGGACGGGAGGAGAATTAACCCACGGGGGCATTTCTGCCACAAAAAGGGCAGATCACTTAACCCCTGAGAGTTAAGTCTGGCCAGTGTCCCAGATCGCCTCGGCTTACTGGCCAGAAGAAGTCCTCAAATCAAAAAGCACTGAGGCACCACACCAGACAGCCACCTTTGTATCTAGCCTGCTAATGACATTAAAAAGTAAAAAAAGCAGACCAACCAACACAAAACACTGATTATTGTCATCACTTCAAAAAAAACAAGACACGGTCAGTTTAACTTTTTTTTTTTTTTACAAAAAGAACACACGGTTGACCCTAGGACATGTTTCCACTGGACACACTGAGCTAAAAGAAAACCTTTCCTTTCTGTTCTTCTTTCGTTCTGTCGCGGCCAGGTGAAGACAAGGTGGTGCTTCCCCCGCTGCATTTCAGAATGCAGCCCTCTCCTGCCGCACCCACAGGCCCAGCGATTCCCTTGTCCGCCGCGAAAGCCCACAGCCCCCTTTTTATGTGGCTTCTCAGGCCTCCGGAAGCATCTGTCTTGGTGGGCTGTCCCCGGAGAAACAATGAACTCTGATCCTGACCCCAAGAGCCGCTGAGCCTGGCCACAGTTTCTCTGTCAAGGGCCTCACTTAATGCTTGGAAATCCCACAACTGTCTCAAGTGAAAATGCTCAGGAAAATGCCATGGCCCAGAGCCAAATCATGAACTGCACAGCCGTGACTAAAGAAGTATCTAAAACAGCCCCCCCACCCCGTGCCAAACCTACCCAGAGTCAGTCTCAAGATCAGCAATTTTCTAGGGAAAACAAGCAGGGCCTCCTTGCTAGAAAGAACCAATGTCAGAATATTTCAAAATAAAAATCAACACCCTCTGTCTGAAACCACATTGTACAGATCCGACAAGGCCCGGCTGTCACACCCGGCCCAGGAGCTGCTATGTGGCAGTGGGTTCTCTGCCAGCTCCTCTGAGACCTGAGTTGCTCTGGGCAGGTGACAGGGACACTTTGGGGCTCTCTGCCCTAGTTTCAGCAGCTCAGCCCTGGCTCTGCTGTCCTGTTGCATCAGCCTCCTGGGGATGAGTCATGCTGCAGCTCCACGACCATGTATGGCTGCTGGGCTGTGAGAAGCTGCACCAAGAGCCACGCCCCCTCACGCCAGCTCCGGTCAGCCTTGAAGGACCCCGCCCCATAGTATCTGGAAACTTTTCACAAGTGGGGGCATATATTTGCTAAGCTGGGGGGAGTCACCCAACAAGTAAGGGGGAGCATGGCAGTGATACCAGGCCATGAGCCACAGTCCACCAGCCTCTGTGCCACGAGTCCAGAATTGCTGCTTCTGGAGACCCAGAAACACCCCTTTCCGCCCACCCTCCACACATCCACAAGAAGCTGTCCATGGAGGTGCCAACCTGGCTCTCTCATCGCATCCACAGATGCCTGTGGTGAGGGCTCTTCAGCACCAGCAGGGGAGACCAGAGGCCAGCCCTGAGGTCAGGAGGGGGGGCACAGGCAGCGGCCCTGCTCCAGAGTGAGCCAGCCCCAGCAGCAGGGGCCTGGAGCAGAGGCTGCCACTGGCTTGGACGTACCACATAGAGGCATCTTTCTCTAAGGGCTTCAGTCCCTGGAAGAAGTTCCATCTGTGACCTGAGCAGTGGACATGGAGACGCACCAGAATCCAGGCTGTGGGTTAAGCACCCGGACGGGTACATACCAGTCAGGGCATGGAAAAGGACACATGGGCAGACAGGTGTGTGGGCGGACAAGGCCTGGGCCCTGATCACTCCTCGCCAGCTACCACATCAGAAGCCCCAGCTGCAGAAAGAGGGAACACCAGGGCCCCCACAGGCCCACGTCCTCAACTAGCTTAGGAGAAAGCCCATTTGCAACCTGACAGTGAGACCCAGGCCCCTCCCTCCTGGCGCTGGGCCTGGCTTCCCCACCTTCACCAGCAGCTGAAACTTGAGCTGGGAAGGAGTGTCTCCCAGGCCCTAAAGCAACTGGGGGAATAGCAGCTGAACCCCCAGAGGTACACAGACCCCTCTAGCACAGAGGCCCCCAACCCCACAGTACCAGTCCATGGCCTGTTAGGAACCGAGCCACACAGCAAGAAGTGAGCGGCAGGTGAGTGAGCGAAGCTTCACCTGTATTTGCGGCTGCTCCCCATGGCTCACATCACCGCCTGAGCCCCGCCTCTTGTCAGATCAGCAGGGGCATTAGATTCTCAGAGGCGCCCAAACCCTACTGTGAACTGCACATGCCAGTCCCTATGGAAATCTAATGCCTGCTGATCTGAGGTGAGCTGAGGCCCTCACGCTAGTGCTGGGGAGCAGCCTCACCCAGATGAACATCAGCAGTGAGGTCTGACTGCACATCCTCCCTGACACCGTCCATGGAAAACCTGTCTTCCACAAAACCCGTCCCTGATGCCAAACAGGCTGGGGACTGCTGTTCTCCCAGGAAAATGATCTGACTTGTCAGGAAGGTAAATGTATGAAAAGCCTCCAGCCAGCAGGCTGGAGGGGCCTGTGACGCCAAGACCTGGGGGTCAGTCCGCTTGTCTGGGCCCCAGGCTGCAACAGGCCCGCTTGCTGCCACAAGCCAGCCCAGTCACACAGCTCTCCTGGGCCTGGACAGAGCGAGGGGAGGGGCGGGGCGGGGGTGCCCTCATTGTCAGTGGTCTTGGGGTTCAGAAGCTGAAACTTGGGGACAGGGTGGATGGTGGCCCAGTACCACTAGACACGCTCCACCCATCACAGAGAGCAGCTGCATGCCTAGGAAGAACGTTCTCCACCCGGTGCTACCCATACTCTTCCGAGGCAAGACGCCCACCCAGCAGGGCTCCTCCCACATGGGGGTGTCAAGGGAGACCCCGGTGCCTCCTGGGCCCTCAGAGGCTGCTCCAGCACAGGAATGCACCTACAAAGTGTGTTTCACAAGATCAGAGAGAGAGAGAGAACGCAGGTGAGAGGATAACTGGGAGGAAGAAGACGCGAAGGCAGGAGCGAAAGCAGGAGCGCGCAAGGGAAGGAGAGAGGCCAGAGTGAGGGCGAGGAGAAAGGAAGCCCTGGAGTGAGAGCAGCCAGAGGGGTGGGGGGAGGCACCAAGTGCTACGCACTATCACCCACGGAACTGCATCACTGTGGGCTTTCCAACTGACCCTTCCCAGGGGGCAGGTGGACTCAGGGAAGGCACTGCTGGCTGCGTCCCTCACTCGGCACTGAGCTGCATCTGCGCAGGCCCCCCTCCAAGCCCAGGGTGGTGCTCTAGAGTCATCGCCAGCCTGTGTCCTGCTTCCACTTTCACCTTCCCGCCAGCAACAGAGGCCGCCAGCATGGCCAAGCTTAGATGGGCACAGGAAGAGGCGAGGGTGGATGCCGAAGGGCAGCGCGGGTCCCAAGAGGGCCCCTTCCCAAGCGCATGCGCTGGGGGTGCTGCCTAGGGAGACGTCAACCGTAGCCACCAGACCACAGCCAGCCCGTTCTCACCACACCTGGGCAGCAGGCACCACCCCCCACCCCGCGTGGTCCCCTTCATGCAAGTGCAAGCGCGGGGTCCCTTCATCTTCACTTCGGCTTGCTTGGTGGGTGGTAAGTGTGGGCACTAGTTCAAGCTACTTCTAAGAAAAACCTTCAAACCACAGAAAACACAACAGGGCAGGCCCACAGAGCCCACGGGGCCCAGAGTCCACCTTTCAGATGCAGGATGACCTGACCTCCCACACAAGTCCTGACTGCGATGGGCCCCTTCCCTGGACACCAGGTGCTCAGGGTTCCTCCTTGACCACAGGAGTCCGGGCTGGGACGCTGTCCTGAGGACCAAGGACCTCAAGGGACACCGCGCTGGCCTCCCACGAGGAATCTGCTGGGGAATGAAAAGGGAGGGTCTGAGGACTGCAGCACTCATCTAGACCGGCGCGACTCAGCCGGATGGGTGTCTGTGGTGTGGGCCCGTCTCTGAGGGCGGCCAGCACCTCCTCCCTGCCAGTGCCTGCCAGGCTTGCTATCAGGAGACGGCATCTCTCCCCCAGTGGGGTCTGAGTGTCAGGGTGCAGTGACCGCGTCACTTCCAGGCCTAGACCTTCAGAAGCCAGGGGCCTGGGCTCTGGCTCCCAGGGGAGGCAATGCCATGCTGCAGGGAAGCCCAGGCTCCCCTGCTGGAGAGCCTGGCACATGGAGGGGACAGAAACGTGGAGGCCATGTGGAGAAGACGAGGCACCGGCTGGCAGCACCTGGGAGGGAGATGCTTTTTGGGACCTCCCAGCCCAGCTGCACTCAGTCACGCACACAGCCTCAGCCAACACCTCAGGCAGCAAACAACGGCCCATCAACCCACAAAACTGTGAGAAAGATGACTCAGCTTACACCACTGAGTTTTGGGGTGCTTTGCTGTGTGGCAAGAGGTAACTGACACAGATGGTAAAACCATCAAGAAAAAAGAATGATTAGCCGGGCTCAGTGGCTCAGCCTGTAATCCCATGCCTTTGGGAGGCTGAGGTGAGTGGATTGCCTGAGCCCGCGGGTTCGA